ATACTGGGACAGTGGCTTGTATCAGTGAGCTCCCTCCTACAGTCCCATACATCACAATACTGGGACAGTGGCTTGTATCGGTGAGCTCCCTCAACAGTCCCACACATCTTAATACTGGGACAGTGGCTTGTATCAGTGAGCTCCCTCCTACAGTCCCACACATCACAATACTGGGACAGTGGCTTGTATCAGTGAGCTCCCTCCAACAGTCCCACACATCCAAATTCTGGGACGGTTGCATGTGACTTTCCTTGTTTATCATCATTTTATGAGATGATGAAATATTTTGAAGCATGATGATGAAGGTAGATTTTGATATCATGACAGAAATGATATGACATCACATACGGTAATTTGGAAGAGAGGTTTTTTGTGTCCACAATGATTGCTGAAGTGAGTGTCCCTGGATACATTAGCTTTTATTCCTCCTTTTACACTTTCGTGACGTTTGGATGAAAACTATTCGGTGGTGTCACTCTTTACACAGATAATGTCATATTGTAGCTGAGTGGTGTGAAAACAGTATTTTAGATGTGAAAGAAAATATAAGTCATTACCCACTTTGAGGACAATACGATAAATATCTTAAGGGTGTTTTTAATTCCGGCCCTTGACATCACCAAGTTTATCTTATGAGTTTAGATTTTTCCAGCTCATGTAAGATCAATGGAAGGGTGAGAAAAAAAAATAAAAAAATGTTGAAACATTACACCTTTGGACAGGTACTAAGTACAATCATTGTGAAAATGTACCGATCACATTACCGTAAGATAAATATATCTGTACAATGTAGAATTGTACACAGTTCTAAACTAATAGGGTAGTTTATGTTTATACAAACATTTTAGTACTTTGTACTTGTATGTTTATATACATACACTTTAGTACTTTGTACTTGAATGTTTATATACAAACCTTTTAGTACTTTGTACTTGAATGTTTATATACAAACATTTAAAACTTTGTACTTGTATGTTTATATACATACACTTTAGTACTTTGTACTTGTATGTTTATATACAAACATTTTAGTACTTTGTACTTGTATGTTTATATACAAACATTTTAGTACTTTGTACTTGTATGTTTATATACAAAAAAATAGTACTTTGTACTTGTATGTTTATATACGAACAATTTAGTACTTTGTACTTGTATGTTTATATACAAACATTTCAGTACTTTGTACTTGTATGTTTATATACAAACATTTTAGTACTTTGTACTTGTATGTTTAAATACAAACATTTAAAACTTTGTACTTGTATGTTTATATACAAACATTTTAGTACTTTGTACTTGTATGTTTATATACAAACATTTTAGTACTTTGTACTTGTATGTTTATATACAAACATTTTAGTACTTTGTACTTGTATGTTTATATACAAACATTTTAGTACTTTGTACTTGTATGTTTATATACAAACATTTTAGTACTTTGTGCTTGTATGTTTATATACAAACATTTTAGTACTTTGCACTTGAATGTTTGTACACAAACATTTTAGTACTTTGTACTTGTATGTTTATAAACAAACATTTTAGTACTTTGTACTTGTATGTTTATATACAAACATTTTAGTACTTTGTACTTGTATGTTTATATACAAAAAAATAGTACTTTGTACTTGTATGTTTATATACAAACATTTTAGTACTTTGTACTTGTATGTTTATATACAAACATTTTAGTACTTTGTACTTGTATGTTTATATACAAACATTTTAGTACTTTGTACTTGTATGTTTATACACAAACATTTTAGTACTTTGTACTTGTATGTTTATACACAAACATTTTAGTACTTTGTATGTTTCGAAACAAACGCTGCGCTTTCGATGATTTGATATAAATATTGTTGTACAAACGTTTAAGTATTTAGTTTGTTCTGTACAAATTGTAGCACTGTGTACGTTTTAATACAAACAGTGCTATTTTGGCACAATCCTGTCATTTACCAACATGTTGTATAAATAACAAAGTTCTATGGAATGATTTGTCATAAGTTTTTTATTTAAACGGTTGTTCTATAAATTGAGTGATAAGCCTTTCTACAATTTCTGACATGATTAACCTTCATATATAGTTGCAGGATAACCTTTAACCCCTAATCCTGTGACCTTGAACACAGAACCAGACAGGGGGTATTTCTCCAGTTCCTCCTCTGAGGCGCCAGTGCGACCACAGGTCACATACAGTTCATCCAAGTTTTTCCCGCCAAAACAGCATGACGTTGTCCTTAGTGCCGGAAATTCGATAGTTCTCATTTCTTTCCCTGTTTTGAGATATAATCAATTGACTACGTTAACACATGTTTATAACGACAGAGAAAGTTGCTACATCTCTTCAGTCCATCCTCGATGTCCAGGGGTTACGCTCACTTTCACTATTTTATTGGTGTCGGGTAAAAACAACCTGATCAATCACCAGGCTGATACTTGTTCTTTGAAGATTACAAAGGAGCGACACCCGACTTCAAAGCCTGTATGTTTTACCATTACGCGACCGCGAGATTCTTTTGATATGCATCAAAGGATCAAAAAAGCCTTCTCGTCTCGCCCACAAGGTGCTGTGCACAGAGCCTTCGAATTTGCTTTGACATATTCCAGGGGTGCAGAGAGCGTAGGTGAGCGTAACCCCTGGATATCGGGGATGCTTCAGTCTGGCCCTGATATTTATAAATCGTCGGTACATATATTTACTTGAGTTGGAAATCGTAGGATCAATGATATAATTTCGTGACTTTTTGTATACTTTGATACCTATATCATAGATTATGTGAAATCTTATTAACAATTATAATTTGTGTTCTAAAGCTTAACAAAAACTTTGTTATGCATTGTATCACCTACCAGAGAGAGGATCGAAGCGAACCACTTTACCGACACGGTAGCAGGCTACCCAGAGTTTACCCTCAGTGTCTATGGTCATGCCGTCCGGGAACCCCAGTGTATCGACAGTTCCCTCGCCAAAGTCTACCACGGTTCGCTGGTTACCTGTACGAAATTACAGAACACCGGACTGTTTTACTTTTTTTATCGCAATACACAGTTGTTCGGAGTATTTTGTTAATTTCATTTCATTTAAATATTCATCAAATGTAGTCTACTTGTACATGTATATATCAGAGGACACAATATCATCCAACTCTGGGAGATAACCCTAACCCTAACCCTAACCCAACTCTGGGAGATAACCCTAACACCCAAACCCTAGGAAGCCATCTGGACACGTTGCAGTGGGCCAGTTCTAAATCGAGATAAGGGTCTCAAAGACTCGGGCACATCTATGACCAAGTGTTAACAAAGCGTAGCTGAATTAAGTCATTTCGGTACATATATAATAACTATTGTACATACGTTTCACGCATAGACGAAATCGACATCGATTTTGTGGACAACTCGTACACGTTTTACACCTTTGGAACTTATGCTCCGGACAAACTTCGGTATTAAAATTAAACAAAGGGCCATTAGTCTGTATATAGTGAAGCACGAGACATAATTCAAGTGCACTGCACACCTTCTGTGGGTGATGCAGGTATACTTCAAGTTTGATCAAGATATTTTTAACGATTTAAAATTTACGAGCCGTACAAGAATTAAATGAATGTTTGTACTTATTTGACCTTTGACCTTGAGGTGAAGGTCACAGTGACCTAATTTCAGTGTGGTGATGCAGACATACTTCAAGTTTGATTAAGATACCTTTAAGGGTTTAGAAGTTATGGCCCAGACAAGTTGCCATTAGAAGAACCAGTACTAATACAATATGTCTCCCTTCATTTGAAGGAGAGACATCATTATCACATTGTGTTTGCAGGGTTTGTCGTGAGGACAGTTTAAAATGTACTCAACGCATTGAGAGGCCATGACTAAGATAAGATATCTTATCCACGTTCTAGTGATGAGGAAACTGATATCCTGAAAGATAATGTGTGATAAACTTGTTTATCATCTATATACTACAACCTTATATTTCTGCAGTCAAAAGGTCAACTAAATTCACTATCTTTCATCTGGGTTGATCATCGAGATCAGCGGTCGGTGACAAACGTAGACAAATACGACTTTCACGCGGAGTAATGCCACAGACTTGAAATTGTGAAGAAAGATATTTTCAAGACAATACTATTGTCATTGGTTTTCTCAATGTATACACATTTAGCTTACAAAGGTGTTGTTATCCTCACCATAGTTTTCATAACTTTTGTTAATGATAGACCATTTTCTTACGCGGATCACCTTTGTGTTGATACTATTTCCGGTTCAGGACGCCGCTTGGCGCGAGCAGATGTTTTTTGTTATTTTTGAGAAAATACATTCCAAAAAGTAAACTTTTTCAAGTCGTTCTCAACTTCATGATTATTGCCATACTGACAACCCATGATAATGCATTTACTATGCTACCGGTAGGTGGTATAAAGTAATATATAGATTGTCCAGATGATAAGTTTTAAAAATTACATTTTGTTAATGATTTTGAAGAATTATGGAGAGCCTTAAAAACAGAATTCTGTTCTCAATGTTACTCTGGACGGTTTTACCATGACATGATTTAAGTGTTTTATAAAAAAAAATAAAAAATAACACAGAATCCATGCTCAAGCATGAGAACAGTTTCACGAATATTGGCCCCGATTCGCAATCGAAATGAACAATGGGCTAATAAGTGTGACCTACTGATATTGCCCGTGTCAATGTCGTAATGGACAGTGGGCTAATTGGTGTGACCTACTGATATTGCCCGTGTCAATGTCGTAATGAACAGTGGGCTAATTAGTGTGACCTACTGATATTGCCCGTGCCAATGTCGTAATGAACAGTGGGCTAATTAATGTGACCTACTGATATTGCCGGTGTCAATGTCGTAATGAACAGTGGGCTAATTAGTGTGACCTACTGATATTGCCCGTGTCAATGTCGTAATGGACAGTGAGCTAATTGGTGTGACCTACTGATATTGCCCGTGTCAATGTCGTAATGGACAGTGGGCTAATTAGTGTGACGTACTGATATTGCCCGTGTCAATGTCGTAGTTGACAGTGGGCTAATTGGTGTGACCTACTGATATTGCCCGTGTCAATGTCGTAATCGAAGCCGTACACCTTCCTGGGGAGTGAGTCTATATAGTACATAGTCCGGTTGTCCTCTGCCCACGCCAGGCCGTTAGAGATGTCTATCTTGTCCTTGTGGCTGACCAGCTGTCCGTCCAGCCCGAGACTGAACAGTTCACCCATCTCCCTCTCCGGGTTGGCAGGTTCCGTCTCGCGTCCCATGGTGCCTAACGTGTAAAGTAGAGATAAGGTTAATTCCTATATACTGCACTAAATAAGTTTATTTTGTATTAATTTTTCAACGATTCAGTGAAAGTGATTATTTTAGAATAAGGGTCAAGTGTCTCATCGTTCCTAATGTGGACAGTGTGAGTTGAAATGAGTTTTAAATATTAAGATAATAGCGACCGACCCAGGACTAAGCGGATTAGAATTACATCCCCCACTCTCGAAATAGCGGAGTCGCTTGCCTATAAATATAGACCACACCATTAAACACCTTTATACAAAAGTGCCGACCAGATCAGAGCATTTGTTTGCACTACAAACGTCTTTGCATGTTATATTCCTACTATCTTACGCACCAAAAATAAATCAAAGAGTGGATTGTTTAAATGAACATTTCGAGAAAACATTGTAAAAACGAACTGAATGGAAAAACACTTCTGCCGTTACCTGCCCACACTCTGCCTCTTGGGTCACATTTGCCGTCATTAAACCTGTTTTTAGAGCCTTTCGGGGCCACCTCGTGCAGGACGGTCACCTTTCCACTGTCCCAGTCCATATGGGCAAGTTTGCGCCCAAGCCCCATGATGTAACCACCCTTCCGGCACGGTACCACAAAGCCCACATCCTCATCTGTAGCACAGAAAACATTTACCACATAAAACGTTAATAAAGCGTCATCGATTCGGCTTTTTTTAGGGACCGTTTGACTCGGTTTGACTCAGTGGAAATGGCAATGGTTGTGTTGTATTTTGTTAACGAATAATAAATATTTGTCCAGTGTTCCGGGCCATTTCGTAAATGATGTACAAATTCCTCGTAAACGACCTACAATCCCCAATTGATTTTTTAATTGTTCGAATGCGAAAAACATTCATTTTTTGAACAACTCTCCACTTTTATTTAATAAATCCCGAAAGTAATTACATACCAAAATGTTTGGCCTCCTGTTGCCCAGTAACCGAGTTCCACCGTACGACGCCCCCGTCCATTATGTCGACGTACAGGAGAGAGCGCGTGGTATCATCCCAGTGCGGGCCCTCCCCAGTCGTCTTGGCGCCGTCCTTGATGGCAACTTCCACTGACATCATGAGCTGTGTCTGTCAACCAGTGATTGTTTATTAGTATATGATATTGCTGATCTCATTAGAACTGATCTTTCGAATGAGCGTCTAAGTGAAATATTTTCGGGTCAGTCTTGCGTCGGTCAGGTCACACTATCACCCGGTTGCTTGTGATAGAGGTGCTTCCCAAGAACATACTCCCCATATTACAAGGAACCTTGCGAGACATTGGCCAAGTCGTGTTGCTCACTCGACCGACACTCAGCACCAGCTGCCGCTCATCGTATAGAACCTATAGAAGTAAAGCGTCCCTCAGCCTCAAATCTAGCCTACAACAAAATACCCAGTCTGCTGACTGAAAATCAACGTTAAATTATTTAGAATAACGCGTCCTTTGACTGACTCTGAAAATCAACGCTATCCTGTTTTAAAAAACGCGGCCCTTGGCTGACCATCAACACTTACCAATGAAATGAAGCGTTGTTCGGCTGACTCTCAAATCTAACCGACCTAGAATAACGCGTCCTTCCGTTGACGCTCAGTATCAACACTAACCAACATAGAATAAAGCGTCCCTTGGATGACACTCAACATAAGCTATATCGGCTAGATTGAGAATCAGCAGAAGAATAACACATTTCAAAGGAAATGACATAAGCATAGTTTATTTGTTTTTATTATAATACCAATAAATCGCACCCACGAATCAATGAAACTAAGGCAAAACAAAATTAGGTATGAGGTAAAATCAAAGTACTGTCATGGTCTCAATTGGTAATTGGGCTTGCAAAAACGAAACCCCAAGGCAAAATAATGGTCATAATAAAAGAAAACCGACATTCTTTTACAAGGAAACAATTCTTTCCGGTGTGATCATGATGGGGATCACAAAACCTGTCCATAATTGTCATCAATCTGCATCTATTGAAAGTTTGTCCGTCAGCAATCGACATCTATTGAAAGTTTGTCCGTCAGCAATCGACATCTATGAGCGAAATTGTATTCGAAGTACAAAATCAACTCCAACATGTGATGTAACTGTCAAGAAATGGAAAGGTCAAGATCGCTTATAGTACAGTTAAAAGTAAGTAGACGCCTCTGTTGCTCTTGTTGTAAGAGTACATATTAAAGCTGTCGGTGCAAAAGCTTTCAAATGAGATAATAAAGGCCATGCACATGTACACTACATAAATAATTTATAAGGACAGTTTGTGAAGATACTTGTTAATCATATAATAATTTAATCTTGCCTGTAAGCAAAAAAAAGTAGTTGAAATGTGCATACACTAGAATGTGGTTATTTATTTAAGAGGTACACTATGCAGCAGTATTAGATATTTGAGTATTAACACCAGATTCGGCTCAGAAACCACGGAAACGCGTTTGGACTGGCTACCATTATGAAAATATCAACATGCTGAACACTTGACTCGTCACGTGAAACGGGGCGTAAGATATAAATATCTTGCACCTCTTTCTCGCCCTGGACACACATGGAAATGAGAGAAATGTATCTACACTAGATTCATTAGCTCTTAACCAGCTGGCAATTTTACGCTTAATTAGCTTCAATCTTGTTACGACCTTTGCCATTTAAGTCGTTTGTCAGCCGTCTTACTTTATTAATTTTATAACCATACATAATTTGATATAGGCAAATAATCGTGCCAAGCATGTGAATTCTGCTATGTAATTTATGTGACTATAAAATGATACCGACAGCTTACGTTCCTGCAAGCGACAAAGTTCTCCGTAACATCTTGTAAATAAAATTATGACCAGGAGAATCTAATAACTGTATACAACAGAACTTACCCGTTAAGAGGCAGAGCAGGAAGACAGATTATATCTGATCCTCGTCTCGGGTTATCGCCGAATTGTACACCACCGAGAGATAGCAAACACTCAAGTGTGTACGACATCGGACTGACTCGGATCGGTTACAGAGAGCCAAGTGGGTCACGAAAATCTTATCGTGACCACAGGGACCTGAGAATTTGTCACAGCTATATTTGGACCTAAACTTAGGTGTTCAGAGTAATTTTACATGTTTTAGGGATTTAAATCGACTATTGGGGGTGTCATTTTTTACCGAAAGTCGATTTAAACCCCTAAAAATGTAAAATTACTCTGAACACCTTAGTTTAGTTTAGTTTCGAAAAAGGAGAAAATACATATCATTGGTGCATGAATCCGGGGATGTTTTTAACGATTGTACATTAAATGTACCAAAGAATTGCCAGTGACTGCATCAGGTAGTAACATGTCAGTAAGAGGACACGACATGGTCTACCTTTAGTGTTTAGATATTTTTTCCACTTTGGTAATGGGTACTAATAATATATATTAACACCAATGTATTTTGACGGTTAAGAGTGTGACTGCTGTGACTGACTGTACGAGAGTTACCAACCTTATCGTATAAAAAAAACAAGCACGATAATTGCAATATCACATTTACTTTTAAACAACTGTTTTATACATACGGGCACCTGTGGTACGTTACCACGTGATAGGTATGCTGCTCAATAACACGACTCGTGGGTATAAACAAGGACAAAGTGCCCGATCGGCAAATTAAAACAAAGCTTATTTTGAAAGCTCTGTATACGTTAAAACATGTTATCCTTTAACATTTACGAAATGATTGCCAATAACTGTATCAGATAGTACCTAACCGTTCAAAATTCATGATAATCATATGAACATAAATAAAATTATGTACGAAGTTTACTGTAACAATCGGGATCAATGTTGGTGTCGCCGTTTATTAAGTCTTCAATTAAAAATCCAGACGTGTTCGTTATTTTATGAAAAGTCTGTCATTGTGATAAAAGAGAATACAAACAATGTCCTAATACAAATAAATACACAACAATAGCATGTAAATAGTTAGAGAAAGGTCCTAACACTATCCCTATACAATATGTATAATAAATAGATAAAAGGGTAGATTTGAAAATAAAGAATTAGAAAATTTTCAATAGTTTGTTTCAATGCCATTGGAAATACGGAAAAACAACAAAAGCAGAGCATTGATTGAATAATTCAGACGATAATTAATTAACTATTACGTTACGCTATTGTTTGTTCCTAGGTCGTATCTTTCAGGAAAATCAGTCGCTTGTCCTGTAAATACTTTGGTTCTATCGGGAAGTATTTTTCAGAATAAGCAAATTGAATGCTTACTTACAAAAATTAATAGACAAATGAAGTAATTATGATATTTTTTAGCAGTATAGGTTTCTTTTTTAGAAAAATGTATTAACTTAATTTACACAGGATGGTGCCCACTTTAATGCTTCGGTGGGCCATAACCGATAAGCATTATGTCTTGCAGAAATTAAGTCTAGGGTTAGGTCATCATAAAATGGGGGTTCGCTTTCGAATCAATCAATCCTCGCATAGAAAAAGGAGGGGTGAAGTAGGAGAGGAGACGAAATCTGGTATTTTGTTTAGGTGAATCCAGAAAAACTGGAGCTCTGATTATCACTTTACTGACATGGTAGTTACAACTATATATTTACATTTGCGCTGCAAACCACTATGTGAACATTACCAGCAGAACTGGATCTCATTTGAGGATTAAATCTTGCTTTGGTCGATTTCATTGGGTGATGAATTGAGTTGGTCTTGAAACAAATGTAATGAACTGCGAAGTAGTTCATGTTGAATTTGTTCCAAGACCAACTCAATTCATCACCCCATGAAATCAACCAAAGCAACATTCAAACCTTATATTTCACTCAACGTGTTTTATTCTCAATAATTGGAACTTGATGAGTCCATTCTGATCGTTTGTCTACGTACTGACTTAATGTAAAAAATATAGTTCGTCATTGAAGGCCCATCATACCACATGATGGTGTAGGTTGATGGTTCAATATAGCCAAATGATGTAGAAACAAAACATAAAACTATATTTAAGATGTCATATTTAATTTTTGTTGATGAGTTCATAAGATATCAAATTTTCTGACGCGTCATCGCGGAAGAATAATGCCTAGACCCAGTGCGCAGGCTCCGCTGCGAGTCTACACAACCATTCTTTTTACTAGCTCGAAGTGGGGAGCCGCTAAATTTCTTCAGGACCACATGGATCTACGTTGTTTTCGATTTGTACCGGACGTTACTGACACAAGAGGCAGAATGGGTCACTACCGCTAGCAACCGTGAGCTGATAATATTTGGCTGATTGATTTTTTTTGGTTGTTTGAACAATTTCTTGTGTAGCTTCAATAAAAATGTTAAATCTCATCAAGTGGCACATCTTCTTTGTTTAAACATGTCTATAGTTATCTCCCTTCGCAAAATCATAAGCACAGATAATGTTAATCTGGTAAAATTCATCGGGAAATGAAACAGGTTACATTTGGTAGTTGCATTTAGTCAAACTTGAGTAGGAATTAAAATATGTAGTAAACTCTCATGACGTAACACTTTGTTTACTTAATATGACGTCATATGTTAACCTTGTTTAATGAGAGTCTTGTCGCTTAGCGTCGTATAACATGGAGAATGCCCCTGCGTCAAACACTCAAATGACTACGGTTTATTTTTGGCGCCAATTTTATTTAAATAAGACTTTCCGCCAAGGTCTTAAAGGACGACACATAGGCCTATTCTATACGCAGTAAATAAATAAATTATTTAAGAACAAATAAATTAGATTAAACAATTGTTCTCAAGTAAAATTGTAAACATATGGATTAAAAAACGCCGTTTAATCCCTATATTTATTCTATTTGTTAATATACTTTTTGTAACCCTCATTTTAAAAGAAGCCGGGTCACTGCTCGGTCTGGGCAATATGGACGTTTCTGTGTGGTGAAGAAATGGGGATGGTGGTATTATTACCCGAAGGTGATGACAGACCTTATAAGTAAATAAAAGGAAAAATATTTTTTAAGAAAAAGAAACCCTCAAAATGTTACATCAAAATACAACCACTGGGAAATCCCACGGAACTTCACGGTTTTTTTCCGCCCGTCAAATTTAACGGGAATATTATGGTATGGCGTTGTCCGTCTGTCCGGTGTAAACTTTTGTTTGTCCGGCAATCTCCTCCTTCAAATTTGATTTGACAATTCTCCCAAAAGTTATTGCCCTTTGTTCATTTCAGTTTTTTTTAATTTTTGTCCGGCATTCTTCTCCTACATTTTTCAACGGATCTCTTTGGAACCTAGTAGGCTAAATAATCATGATATGTTGTTTTGTTTCCTTGAAAAGAATTTTGATTTGACGATTTTAGCAAAGTTATTGCCCTTTGTTCATTTCAGTATTTGATTTTTTTATTGTTCCGCCCCGCGGTACTCTTGTATATAAATGGTTGGTGTGACCCCCCTTTGGCAGAGAGGCAGGGCCAAAGGGGAAAATCGCTTTTAAATCGTTCTTCTTCAGTAGGAATGACAGGATTATGTCCATTTTTGGTCAAAAGCATCCTTGGGTGAAGGGGACCTAATTTTGAACCAACAATGGGTCTGACCCCCCTGGGGACAGAGGGGCGGGGCTCAATAGGGGAACCATAGCAAATTCTTCCAAATCCTCCTTTTATTTTAGGAATGACAAGATTTTGTCCGATTGCATATAAATATAACCCCTGACTAACCATGTAATAATGTACACTTACAGGGGTCAGATATGGTCAAATCATTAAACAACTTCTTCTGAATAACCAGATGGCTCAAATGATATTTGACCAATAGCATGTTGGGACAAAGTACTACCAAGTTTGTTCAAATGAATGACCATCGTCCATATTCAAGGTCACAAGGGGGTCAAATATCTTTAAACTTTTAAACAACTTCTTCTAAATAACCAAGTGGGGTAGGGTGTTGATATATGGCTAGTATGGCTAGTAGCATGATTGGACCATCACCCATATTCAAGGTCACAGGGGTCAAATATGTTCAAATCTTTAAACAACATCTGAAGAATAACCAAAAGCTTAAGAATGATGATGTATGGCCAATAGCATGCAGGGATGAATGGATACACAGTTTGTTCAAATGAGTGACCTTCGTTCATATGCAAGGTCACATAGGTCAATTGTCATAAAAACACTTAAACGACTTCATCTGAATTCCCAAATGTCTAGGGTGATGATATTTGGCTAAAGAGATGTTGGTATGGAGGGATACCAATTTTGTTAAAATGAATGACCTTCGTCCATATTCAAAGTCACAGGTGTCAATTGTCTTAAAAAGTTTAACAATTCTTCTCTATAACAAAAACATTCACGCTAATGAAATTTGTACAGAAAAATGTTGGCATGGGAGCTACCAATCTTGTTCAAATGAATGACCATCACCCATATTCAAGGTCACAGGGGCCAACTACCTTACCTTTAAACAACATCTTCTTTATAACCAAAGGTCCAGGCTGATGATATTTCGCCGGAAAAAATGTTGGCATGGCGGGATACAGAGTTTGTTCAAATGAATGACCTTCACTCATATTAAACGTCACATGAGTCAATTGTCTTAAAAACATTTAAATGACTTTATCTGAATAACCCAAAGGTCTAGGGTTCATGTGAATGGCATTCACACACTTTCAAGGTCACGTCTGGTCCTTAGTCATCTTCTCAATAAGCCAAATGTATTGGGTAGTATATTTGGCACGTTGCATTCAGGGATGGAGTTTGTTCAACTTAATTAATGTCCACGATTGACTTTCAAGGTCACAGGGATCAAATTTGTTTAGATCGTTTAACAGGATCTTCTGAATGCCATTCAGTCAAGTCATTGATATTTTGCCTGTAGCTTTATTTTATTCAACTTTTAAGGTTACAATTGTACACTTAATACCAGGTGAGCTATGCAGGCCCATTGAGCCGCTTGTTCTTTGTACATTGGTTAATCATTTTAATTATTTGTTCTCATGTTAAAAGAACAAAAACATTCTGATCTTGCATTTTTGGGTCACCAGTATCATACAGTTGATATTACATGTAAAAGATTGAGACATTTTCATTGTGGTGAAAAATGTGCTGAACCATAAGAGCCAAAAAAAACTATCAGCACTTTGCAAATTCATCCCCGACTCCGTCCATTTTTTGCATACATCATAAAATGTCATCCACAACAACCAGACTGAAACAAGTGTTAGTTTCATGTTTATTTCAAAATGTCAATGCACAACATCCTCAATTTCGTTTTGTACAAAATCTTTCCACACTTTGTCTTAGCAAGTACATTTATCTTGTATGCCTCATTAAAATACATTTATCTATTATGCCTCATTAAAATACATTTATCTTTTATGCCTCATTAAAATACATTTATCTTTTATGCCTCATTACAATACATTTATCATTTATGTCTCTTCAAACCACAAATAAGATTAAGTTTCAGGTTGCACAATTGAGACAAACAGTTAAATTAATGATAAAATTTAAACCAATCAGTATTTTTTTGTATTTTTTATCATATTTTATTTATTTATTGTTCACATGTTAGTACACAGTGGAGCAATTATTACATTGTATTACATATTGTCTCGCATACTAATGAATTCTAACTTTCATTTTCAGGAGTGTCATCTATTCCACATATAAAGGAAATATCTGACCATGGATAATCTATATTACAATTAGTTAAAAATTGTCGTCTTAAAAATGACCATAACGCACGTGTATGAGGACAATCGCAAAATAAAATCTCTATTCACCGTACAAATTTTACAAATTTCTATTTCTGTAATATTCATTTTCATTAGCCTAGAGTTTGTATAGTGTAGTCTATGTAGCAATTTAAATTGAAAAGATTGTAGTGTTGTGTCATCTGTTATATTGAAAAGTAGTTTGAAATACATCTTCCAACTGTCATTTGTTATACCTAATCCCATTTTTTCTAGCCAATTTTGCATAGATGAAATAGTGAGATCTTGATATATCGATTGACCAATACTGTATAAAAGTCTCTAGTTATCTTTTTTCCCTTTTAGTATTTGTATATATTTGTTTTCTAATACATCAATATTTTTCTTGTATGTTTTAATCACATTTTCCCATGAACATGGGATAGATGCGAGTAAGCCATAGTACTCAACGAAGATAATTTGGATATCATGATGAAGTTTAAATTTATTAACATGAAACGCCATTCAAAAGAGTCAAATGCTTTTTCGAAATCTAACAAAATACGTAGCCCTGGAATATCTTTTCATTAGTCTTATCAATAAGATCAAGAATAAGACGTGTATATTTACCTATATATCTCCATTTAATTAACCCTTTTTGAGTATCGCAGATTAAATCTTGTAAAACTGGTTTTATTCTATTTGAAATACTTGCTGATGCAATTTTATAATCAACATTTAACAGAAATATTGGTAACCAATTTTTCAAATATAGTTTTGACTTTCCGTCTTTTGCAATACAATTAATTACGCCTGGTCTCTGAAAATAGATAGTTGCCCTACTTCTAATGCTTTGTTAATAGAAATTATAAGAGGTTCATGTAAATCATTGAAGAAAAAATTATAAAATTCCACTGAAACCGTCTAAACCAGGTTATTTAAAATTGCCCATTTTTTTTTTTTTTTTTAAATAAACATTCCAATCTACTTAAAATAACTTCCCTCTAATGAGGTTGTTCTGTTGTTATTTTTTTGTTGTATGAATTTTCATCATTGGAATATATTTCAGAATGTGGTCATCAATGTTTGCTTCTCTATTATTGTATAGGTTCGCATAAAATTTAGTTTGTTCTGTTATTATTTCATCAATATCCGTAATCACTTTATTTTCATCCGTTACTAATCTAAGTATAAGCTTATCGGTATCTGGTGCTCCCCCCTCCAAACTATTAGAAAATTAAAGAAAATTGAACATTGACTTTGTAGTGAAAAGTGAGATTTATAGCATGCTAGCTAGCCACTGTTAAGGTGATGCAAATCTTACTTAAATGCAAGATAGTATCTAGCACTTTATGGCATTCAACGGGCGTATATTGTTCCGCCCTGCAGTGTCCTTGTTTGTTACGTTTTCATGCTGATATTTAAGCATTGAACTGTTAACAGATGCAGTATACATTCATATCGACTGTATACTGCATCTGGTAACAGTTCAATGCTATATTTACATTAATATAGTTTATTTTGTATAGTAACTGAAGCAAAAATACGTTGGAATTTCCCGTTTATCATATCAGTGACGTCAGTAAGTTTAAATCCCAGAACACACAAATTTTCCAGAAGAAATAATATAGTCCCTCGTGTCATTGCAAACCACACGCACATAAAATGGTTTGAACACAAACTTAACTTTATTATTTATTTCATATGAGTGTGTTTATGTTAAAGCTGGTTTTCGCGCATAGATTTATTACATGTATTTGGAAGTGATGCGGCTCGGAAAACCGTTATTTTCAGAGGTATATATACTCGGAAATTAAAGTGGTCCTTTCAGTTGGTGATAACGATTCCAAGGACATTTCGTTTGAATAAGATTCCATGTCTAATCGGTCAGATTAGCAAAGCTAGCAGACGACGTTCACAGGGGCTCGGTTTCGTGATTTTGAGGAATGGATGACATAACTGAAGAACCACAACACTTAAAAAGGTATTTATACACATTCTAAAACCTTGTCGATACCCTCGGCTTTTTACAGGGTTACATAAATGCTGACTTTTAGTGTTGTGGTTATTCACTGATGTTATACATAACTCAAAATCTCGAAACCGAGCACCTGTGTGATGACGTTGGCAAACTTGAACTTGGTAATTTCGTCATAATTTGTCAGGTTGCTTTATTTTTTGCGATGACCTACATTGCTCAATGCTAACGAACTCAGAATCTTCTTTGATTATAGGCCTATTGATACCGAAAGTATCTGGTGGCCATGTATGTTCCTACACTGACCGAATCACTGTAAATTGTAGTATACAGTCTCATATACTGGAATTTGGTTTACTAACGACATATAGGCAAATGCAACACAGACTGTAAATATATGTTAATATTAAATCTTGGTGTCCAATAAGTCAATATTTCACGATAACAAAGTCATCAGAGTCAACAAACAAATCTACCGATGACAAACCCTTCATGTCATTATAAATAATGTTATATTAGTGTAGCTGTGATTCCGCCAGGGAAACACTCTTCTGCGTATACCCTAGCAATTAATGTAAACAACACAAACAAATAGAACATACCTAAAATCTCTTGATTTTCTTATTTACTTGTTCATGTTCCTTTATAAATGTAAACATAAAACCTAATAACAGAAACATATTTAGAAGCTTCACATAAAAGTAACCATCAATAAAACTTATGTAATTCTTCTCCAGCTGTTTACTGTAGAAGTTTATTATCAGGAAGAGTCTTATCCCTCATACACGTTCGCTGGAAGTCCTTTGACCCCTAAACCCGTGACCTTGAATGTTGACCCTGACATTGGATATGCTGCCAGTTCCTCATCCGAGGCCCCTTGTCTAGCGCTCGTCACGTACAATTCATCCAAATTCTTCCCGCCGAAACAGCATGACGTTGTGCGCATGGCAGGAATTTGAATGGTCCGGAGTTTCTTTCCTGAAACAGAACCGTTTCGGTTTGAAAATGAATTTAATTTCAAGTACACATTTTACATTCATAATACGGATAAAAATAGTTACGTACCTGAGAGAGGATCAAAGCACATGATTTTCCCGAAACCCCAGCTGGCGATCCAAAGATTTCCATCGACGTCACTTGTCATTCCATCTGGCAATCCCATAGAATCAGCGTCGTCAAAATTATTGTAGTCGATGATCACACGTCTGTTTGCTGAAATAGAAAAACCAACAACTTGACATTCAGTTCCATTTGTTCAACGTGCTAGTTTCGGATTTTAGGAGAATAAATGTAAATATTTGTAAACCATTGTTCAATTGCGATACATTGCTAACAATACAGTATGAAAGAAGCCAGAAGGTCAGGCATAGCAGACGAACAGTAAGCATTTCGTAATTTTTACTTTAGTTGTTGTGTTGCTCAGTGGACAAGTTGTACTGTCATCTGTGGACATGGTCGTCAGATAATCCTGATTTATTGTGTAGTTGATTTATCATCAGTGGTTGCCTTTGTCACTTTTCTTAGGAGTCATGTTGCTGAGTCGCCAGTGCCCACGTCGTCATATATGACTTCTAATAACTAACACTGTACCACTACCTAGACTCCTTTATATCTTTTGCTGCAGTGCGTATTAGAAACATTAAACAAATATTTTACGTCTGAAAGTGTATTAAATTTTTCATTGTGTTCTTTTAATAATTAACATTGTGTACGTACTGATTTTGCCCCTGTGTCAATATCGTAGTCGAAACCGTAGACCTGGCCAGGCACAGAATCTATATAGTACATAGTGCGCTTGTCCTGGGTCCACACTAGACCGTTTGAGATGCTCACTTTCTCGACACGTTTGTGGAGGGTCCCGTCAATGTCTAAGCAGTACAACTCTCCCTTTTCAGGCTCGAACATATTAGGGTTGTTAGAGATTTGATGTCCCATACTTCCTGTATAGTAAAACGTGGTCACATTAATACAGGGTGTTCAATATAGTTTGTACAGTCTGAAACAAGGATTTTACAGAAAGTGCAGTGAATAGATTTTATATTTTCTCCGTTCTTCCAAACATTTTGCGACAGATTTTTTATTCGGGACGATTTGTAGTAGGAACCGATTATTTGATTATCTGAAGACTTACAATACTGATGTTAAACTGTAAAAACAATTTCAGACAATACTGCTTTTTGTCCATCATGTTTACACTTACCTGTCCAGAATCTACCTGCCGGGTCACACTTGGCGTCGTTAAACTTATTCTTGGTGCCGTTCAGTGGTATTTCATGAATCTTTGTCACTTTTTGAGAAGACCAGTCCAAATGAGCTACTGACCGGCCCAGACCCACCATATAGCCTCCCTTCTTACATGGCACAACGGCTCCGACAGTGTCCTCTTCAACAATATAAACATGTAAATTAGTCATTGCATTTGGACATATTACTCTATTAATATATTAAGCTGATGATTGGTTAGTCTTCCACTACTTACCATTCACCTCACAAACCGGAAGAATGCCACCATTCTTTAATTGTGAAAGCTTTCATGTCTAAGAAAGGCGAACAACGATGCTAATATGTCTTTGTATTGGGGCATAATTATGACATATACTGAGCATGGTATCTTGATATTGGTTGTGTTCCTGGTGGACGAAATGTTTGTCGAGTTCGATGGCAGCATATTCGAGCAGGCTGTTGACATTCCCATGATAATACACTGTGATCCTCACCTGGCTTTCTTGTTTTTTCACATGAGACTATATTTATCGAAGATCATACCAGGACTGGTTACGAAAAACCTAGCCAAATCCTGCAATTATACTTACATACCAATGATACGCTGATTATTGTTAGCGTCGATCGTACATGTATATTCCCTCCTGAAATTGTAACTTAAAGATTTGCAGGCTCTTACATAAACATCGATCTTAATTTACAACATGACCAACAGGGACGGCTTACTACTGAACGCCTGCATAAGCCGCTGACCTCGATCTTTACTTACAACACGACCAACAGTGAAAGTAGCATCCATGCTTTCTGAACATTGCGTTTGCACATGTCTCAGTTGATTAGTATTCAAGTGCTTGCTTGAATTAAATTTCGTGAAAGACGTCGACAGCTAACAAACATAATTACAATAGAAGGTTTCGGGGGATGCAATTTGATAAAGTGGACTATGAAAGTTTATGACTTACCTAGAATGACACTGTCCAGTTTGTGACTTTTCTTAGAGTGACACTGTCTTGCTTGTGACTTACCTAGAGCGACGCTGTCAAGTTTGTGACTTAACTAAGAGTGACACTGTCTTGCTTGTGACTTACCTAGAGTGACGCTGTCAAGTTTGTGACTTAACTAATAGTGACACTGTCTTGCTTGTGACTTACCTAGAGCGACACTGTCTTGCTTGTGACTTAACTAAGAGGGACACTGTCAAGTTTGTGACTTAACTAAGAGTGACACTGTCAAGTTTGTGACTTAACTAAGAGTGACACTGTCTTGCTTGTGACTTAAATTAGAGTGACACTGTCTTGCTTGTGACTTACCTAGAGCGACGCTGTCAAGTTTGTGACTTAACTAAGAGTGACACTGTCTTGCTTGTGACTAACTAAATGTGACACTGTCTTGCTTGTGACTTTACTTAGAGTGACACTATCCAGTTTGTGACTTTACTTTGAGTGACACTGTCTTGCTTGTGACTTTACTTAGAGTGACACTGTCTTGCTTGTGACTTACCTAGAGCGACGCTGTCAAGTTTGTGACTTAATTAAGAGGGACACTGTCTTGCTTGTGACTTAACTTTGAGTGACACTGTCTTGCTTGTGACTTTACTTAGAGTGACACTGTCAAGTTTGTGACTTCACTTAGAGTGACACTGTCTTGCTTGAAACTTTACTAAGATTGACACTGTCTTGCTTGTGACTAACTAAATGTGACACTGTCTTGCTTGTGACTTAACTTAGAGTGACACTGTCAAGTTTGTGACTTACATAGAGTGACACTGTCTTGCTTGTGACTTACCTAGAATGACACTGTCTTGCTTGAGACTTTACTAAGATTGACACTGTCAAGTTTGTGACTTAACTAAGAGTGACACTGTCTTGCTTGTGACTTACCTAGAGTGACACTGTCCAGTTTGTGACTTTAGAGTGACACTGTCTTGCTTGTGACGTACCTAGAGCGACGCTGTCAAGTTTGTGACTTAACTAAGAGTGACACTGTCTTGCTTGTGACTTAACTTTGAGTGACACTGTCTTGCTTGTGACTTTACTTAGAGTGACACTGTCCAGTTTGTGACTTTACTTAGAGTGACGCTGTGTTTCTTGTGACGTACCTAGAATGACGCTGTCTTGTTTGTGACTTACCTAGAGTGACGCTTTCCAGTTTATCTTTGACGGAGTCCCACTTATACACTGTGTTGGCCAGTATGTCCACAAATAGAAGCTTCTGTTCTTTATCGTCCCAGTGTGGCCCCTCCCCAAGGAGACAAGTCAAGGTCGGGATGGCTAACTCCACAGTCATTGTTCCTAGGACAAACTTTTTTTCTGGAGAAGTAGTTTTTAAATTAATGTACACTTTAAACAGAAGGAAATGTTCTTCATTTATCTTATTAGTCAATTGCATATTTTCTCTTATCTTCTATGTGTTCCACTAATTTTGATTTTTCTTCCATGATAACCTTTGTATTTACCCTGAAATATGTTGTGTTTGCCTCTAAGTACCGCTATTTACCCATGTGTCTTCTGCGTTGCCTCCGACTTTCTATGTCTTTGTCTTGATTGCGAAGTATTACAATGATTTATGTAAAATTGGAGAAGTATGATATGTGACACGTTTTTTCAATAATGTTTAAAGAACACTACTTACGTGAGTAGGACGCACGTATCCCCCAGATTATAGTATATCTCCTGTTGTTATCGTGAGAAGTACTGATACACTTATCTATCGGACAACAACACTGAAGATTGAGTACGAGCGCATGTCTCGGTTGTCAGTAGCACTGCCGGAAAGCTGACCGCGTATGGCGACCGAGAGACTTTGTAAAATGAGTTGTGTCGTTATCGAAGTCGTTTTGTTGGTTACAAGGTTTGCTTTACGACATTCATCTTCTTTGTAGTCTCTTAGAATATCATTTATTTTCCTGATTATTGTTTTACTTAAGCAAGTGTACAAGTTATCTTTCAACATTAACAAGACATGTCCAGGTCAATAGATAAGAAAGTAATTATATTGAATGAAGAACAGTATATGTTTTGCAGAGTTGGTTGATCATATGATTGCGTTCCGCTAGTTTAGACCATGCTTTTTGTTGTCTGCAAGAACCCAAACCTATCTGCAAGAACCCTATCTGCAAGAACCCAAACCTATCTGTAAGAAACCAAACCTATCTGTAAGAACTCAAACCTATCAACAGAGGTTGAAAACATAGTACCGTAAATCCTATGAGAATCGTACCAAAAACATGGAGTTGAACAGAAATCTTGTCTCAGGAATATCTCTCACAATTTAAATATAAGTACTCTTCTAACAGTAACCGCGTCATCGTTAGCGCTTGTTACAGCTCAAAGTTATTTGGAAAACATTTCAACTTAAGTAATGATGAGCCTGATGCTGCACGAAAAAGATGACCCGTACAATCTACATTTCCATGCTAGGTCTGTTAGGTGTAAAATATGCAATACTTCATCCAGTTTTCACTTAGAAATATAAATTTTATCTGGATATTAGTGAACAGGGTTTTAATATTCCTCTAACAGAGAATCTCAATTAGATTCATATACTTATACTATCGTTGGCAGAAATGTAATTGGAAATGAGCGAAAATTCTGATAAGAATTCTAGTACACTAGTACACTGTTAGTATGTAAATAACTGAAGAAGTCAGGGAAATAACTCTATATAAATCATTATCAGGACTGGATATAAAAAGGGCCGTAGCTCGTTCGTGATTAGCGATGGTATTCTATAACGGTTACAGTCTGAAGCCTCTCGATCATTTGTGTTAAGACATATATTTAAACTAAACATCGTGTATAAGGGCTAATTTTACTTTTTTTTAGTCCCACGCTTAACCGCATCTGGTCTACAAAGATATCAACGTTTATAACTCAATCTGAAGCTACATATGTTTGTGACTCGATGAAAGCAGAACAAACTGAGATAGCCGTTGATAGGACTATCATCCATATAAACCTTGGTCATTGTACACCTACTTTATACCAAGTAACAGGATTGAAGTAGAAGGGAGTAGGACAGATGTGAGATAGCATTAGATAGCCGTTTTGATCTTCTATAGCTTAATCAATAGAACCGTATCTATGCTAGTCATGTGCTTTTGTACCACAGTCACACGAATTTACCTCCGTGGTCAGAATAAGAACACGTGTATTGTGCTGTCGTGTTGTTTTGTTAATAGTGTGTTAAATAGTCTGTACTGACAAGTAGTTGGCGCCTGATAAGGCAGCTCCTGCGCATTCCTCCAAAAATGTATTGCTAATTGAACTAATTGTATATCTATGTACTGTAAAGCGCTTTAGAGTGGCTTATGTCAGCTAGATAGCAAATGCTGTATATAATTATCATTATTATTAAACATTCTAGTGTGTAGTCGTACCGTTTTTATGGTAGTTGTTTTTAAAATAGGTGGTATCACTCGATTTATGGTTTTTACCTTTACATGTATAAACAGAGTAATGCTATTTATGGTTGTTACCTTAGATACCATTATAATCAGAGTAATGCTATTTATGGTTGTTACCTTAAATGCCATTATAATCAGAGTAATGTTAACTATTGTTGTTACCTTAAGTACCATTATAATCAGAGTAATGTTAACTATTGTTGTTACCTTAAATACCATTATAAACAGAGTAATGTTAACTATTGTTGTTACCTTAAATACCATGATAAACAGAGTAATGCTAGTTATTGTTGTTGCATGTGTTACATATCATTGTGTGTAGTCGATGTCGTTGTCTTTATAGTTATAACAGATGGCTTTATCTAGTAAGTAGTCATAGCTTTCCAATATTAGCTTTTACACGTGTTAAACGTTAACATTCTAGCGTGTACATGTAATATCAACGTTATATTATGTCTGATCGTGATAAGTCCCTGATTATTTTCGGGATTCTCTGGAGCATTTTCTTGATAGCCGAAATTTCACAAATAGTGTGTATTGTTCGACAATTAATTTTCTTGAAAGGCTATTTTTATGTTCATGTTTTAGATATTGTCAATTATAATCATACGTATAAGATAAGCAAAATTATCTGCTTATTAAAAGCGGATATTGATAATAATGTATATCAAACATCGTGTGAAGTCGAGGTCCGGGACACGGCAGTTTTCTGCCCCTCTGAATAGTATACCACTGGGCGTAGTAACGTTTTCTTTTGTTTTAATGGTTCATTATTCGTTGATGAATAACTAATGTGTATTTATTTATCACTGTTTTGTATTTCAGAACTCATCACATACATGATCAATAACAGAATTTGTATTGTCTGGAAAATGCCAACAAATTAAGTAGTTTTCCAAGATATCTAAATTGATAGCAGTTTACTTAAACACGAATTGTGATGTCCTTGTTATGGCAAAGGTTCTCTTATATAATATATTCTACATTTATGATGAAGGAAATTATTATTTTAACAGAAATATAAGGCACAATTTTTTCTCGATTTAAGGTACGTTTACTGAAAGGATTCATATATTCTTCCCTAGTTCAAAAAAACATTCATTATAATCTACTTTGCATGCTCCTTATACTTTGATTAATGAAGGGGTAATTCAAATGGATGTTTCAAACATAAATAATATGAGAGAGGACTTGTATAACGAATATCAATAATTTGTATTTTGGAATTCTTCAATACATACAAATAACATCTATTTTAACACATCTATAATACTTTATCACTAAAATATGTCTTTTGTATGTCGTCATTGTCCTATTAATTTGACGACCGATTGTTTTATAGATAGAAAAAAAGGCTCATTTGTTACAGGTAAATATCATTGTTTCCAAAATGTTAAGTATGAGGATACAACTTCTAAATATCCTATTTCGAAAAATAATTGAGGAAGTCATATGTGTTATTTACGCGGTTCATGATTCACAGACAGAACATTATTGAAAGATGAAACATAGATGTTTCACAGATAACTCACTGAGGGAGGACCTATGTAGCGTGTCAACGTGTGAAAACAACTCAATATGTGAAAACATGAAAAAATTATTAAATTCTTAAATTACTGTGTGGAAATTACTTATCATTCAAAATGACTGTATTGTTGACCATCCAAACTAATAAGATCCACTTATTAGCAAAATAATTATATAGATATATTTACATTTGGTGTGGCAAAGCCCTTCTATATTACTACTAAAGTACTGCCAATAGCAGCTTCATCTTATGAGACTATAACTGAAGTTGGTCTTTGCACCTCCGAGCGACTTAACAGTGTCACTACCGAACTTATCGGTATCTTCTGCTTTGATCCCTAACACCAGCTACCTGTCTCAAGTGTCTGTGAGATCATCAAACAATTTTACGCCTGGATTTTTCACCAAAATAGATGTTATAACTCTGACCTGATTACTGCGGGCTTCGTTGAGTGCGTGGGCCGGATATAGGTCGCAATAAAATCGGAAAATGTTTTACGACACTCGATTAATTACTTACAAAATGTCATTTGTTACTATTTATGAATCGAGAATATGATATATAGATAAATCAAAATCAAATGAATTATTAACGAAAGTTGCGGAGTCTTTTCAATTTTGTATGGAAAATAGCCCATGACGTCAGCTGTTATCTTTGTGCCGTTCTAGATACTGACCTGACCTGACGGTAATAAGCGGGAAATTTGAAATTTGGAAAAGACATATTTTTTTTGTATGCTAGCGCGCACCATTCAGTTTGTCTGTGACACATGTGGCAGTTATACCAGTTGGTCTGCCACATCTATGCAGTTTATTGCTTAAATATTTTTCACTTTTCACGAATTGGGTTGCACCTGCTAAGACAATTCACATCAACGCAATTTGTGAAAACATGAAAAAACAAAATGAATTCCTTAGTTAGTATCTGTTAATTACTTATTATTCAAGATAATTCTTATGTGAACAAGTACCACTAATTAGATACGCTGATCAGCCAAAAAACATTAAGAGTTTTGTTTTCACTTTTCACGAATTGGGGTGCACCTGATAGGACAAATCATATCAACCTAATATGTGAAAACATGAAAAATGTATTAAATTCTTTAATTGCATATAGCTCAATGTCATTGTTTCCAAAATGTTAAGTATTGAGGAAGGCATGTGTGTTCAACGGTTCAAAGTCAAAGTCAAAGTCAAAAGTTTTGGTATAACAATACAACATTACCTCTAAGGAGCTATTAAAACCGACTAACATACAGGACATACACATTGCATGATAAAACAGTTACAAAGTCAATACTTTACGCATACATCACATTTCATTTTCAGCTAGGCTAGCACTATCATTTCTTAAAAGCACATGTACACAAGTAGCTGTTTAAAATAGCAGATATCAGTCTAAAAACATGGGGTGTAAAAGCATATTTAAAAACCTTGTGTACTTGTATGAGAGTAATAAGTGATGCTATGTTGTTGTGTGGTATATTATGTAGGTTGTTTGCATGTGACACATATACGTTGTGGTCCGTACCAGCTGTTTATAAGTGTTTTGAATTGCGAAAGTGTTGTTGCTGTTCGAAA